GTAGCCCAGGAGGCGTTCCAGCCACCTGGCCCTCAAGTGCTGTTCCAACGCTCGTTGGGATGTCGGCAATTGGGTTTTGATCTTCCCTGGTTTCCAATGCCGCCACTTGTTGGCCACTGCCAGGACATCTGGGGCCTCAATTGATCCGGAGAGGATCCACTCCTCGCGGTCCCGGATGGCCTGCTCCATTTCCAGTGGAGAATAGGTGTGCGATTGTCTGGCGCCTGCCGCACGGAACAGAAGTTGTTGCAGGGTCTTAGTGGCGAGCTCCAAATCCGCCTCCTCCAGCGGTTGTGGTTGGGAGCCGAGTATCCTTGCGAGGATCAAGTTGTAGGTGTCCGAGGCCACCAGGACATGGTTGCCGTCAGGTGCCAGCCCCACGATTCGTGTCCACGGTCGCGGGTCAAAGACCACCGCATCCGGGTTGGCAACCTGGTCCTTTTTGACCCATTCCAGGCAGCACGCCACGAGGATTTCCCCGTCCGACTGCACTGGTGCAAATCCAAGGTCATGCAAAATCAACTGGAACGCGGTTGGTACCCCAAGGAAGGTCGTTCCAAACGGGGAAGGGAGGCGGGGCCTCCACATCATCGTGATCCACTCGAGCCAGGAGCCAACTCCCTAGGCGCAAACCCCAACCAAACAACAGGGGAGTCCCCAAAACCCCCGGAAAGCCCATCCCGAAACGGGGGAAAAGGGGGGGGGGGGGGACCCAGGGAGCCGCCCCGGAAAGGGAAGAACCAAGCAAGGGAGGGGAGCCAAGGCGCACCCCGGACCAGCCCAAGCGCGCCAATTTTTCTCGCCTGGTACAGGTCTAGGCCTGTGCTGTGCCCAGGGGGGGATATCAGCGCCTTCGGCAGCTGTCCCCCCCGGGGTGCGCTGCGAATCCGTTCCGGATGGCCGCAGTGCTGTATGATCATACGGCCCCCTTTGCAATGTCGTCAATGCGCTTGAGCGCCGCCGCCTCCGGATTCCGGAGAATCAGCTCCCAGATGGCGTTTGAAACGTGGCCGGTCTGGGTGATGTGGCTGAACCTAAACCGGGGGACTTTCTGGTCCACCACGGAGACATCCCGCAGCGGGGCCGAGGGCTCTACCCGGCGGTAGAACTCCAACCGCTCCTTGACCCAGCGGTTGTACAGGCCCTCCGGCGGCTCGTCCAGCACCAGCTGAAGGATGGCCTTGCCGGCCCGGATCTGGAGGAGGCGGGTGCCCCCTCCCCCGGCGCGCCAGTACCCCTTGCAGTACTTGCACATGTACCCCCCCCGGGTCTCCCCTTTGGTCTTCGGGATGAGTTCCCACGGGGTGACGGAGCTCAGGACCAGGCCACACTCCATGTGCGCCCAGAAGACATGCTTCGTCTCCGCCGGATAGTTCTTCTTCCGGTAGTCCTTGCCCACCACGCCGTGGACGTTGTCCGATGTGATGGGGGGGTAAACGATCCCCTCATCGCCCTCTCCTCCCCTGGGGCGGATGTCAGGGCCATCAGCACCTGTCCGGCACCCGGGGGCGGAGGGGTCCAGGCCCATCAGCTTGATCATGTCGTTGGTGTAGCCAAGCTTGCGGTAGATGGAGGGGGCCACTGAGTCGGGGACTGCGCCGACCCACCACTGCTTCGTGTTGCAGCGCCAGTTGACTTCACCTCCGCCAGGGCCCCCGGGCCTCCAATGCGGTCCATGAGGGCCTTGTACACCTCTGGGAACTGCTGGAGACTCTCCACCGGGACAGATATGCGCTCATCACATACCGCCCGGAGGATCATCTGTTCCTTGGAGTCCGCCACGTCCTGGACCGGGAGCTGCATCACCTCCGCCGGGGTGTCCGTGAGGAAGGCCCTGGCCCGGTAGACCAACCGCCACTCCGGTCCTGTCTGCGGAAACGGAAGGCCCTCCTCCTTCAGGAAGCACCGCGCGTCTTCCTTCAGGGTCTCCCAGCCCTCCAGGCGGATCTGATTCTGGGCCTTGTTCTTCGGGCCCCGCTGCCTAGGGCCCTGTAGCAGTGGCAGGGACTCCCAGACTCCCCAGAGCTGGCGCAGGGTGAAGCTGTGACCAAACATCCCCAGTAAGCCTGGAAGTGTCCAGGACGAGATCTGGCGCGCCCAGTGGAAGTCCTCATCCGGATCGTGGGGGGCCGCCCAGAAGATGGAACGCAGGTCCTCTGGGTAGGGTCGGTCCCCCGCCTTAGCCTGCTGGTTCAACTCATCAACGGAGTACCTGGCCCATGGGAGTCCACCCACCTGGTGGTTCCTGGGATGCGTACCCCTCTCCAGCGCCTCCGGATTCACCTTGGTGAGGTTGTTGGCCCAGTCCGGGACGTGTACGGGGCCCGGTCGTCGGACCCAGCGGCCCGCAAAGATACGGACCTCTCCGACCCGTTTGCTCATCATCCAGCGCAGGACCGCGAGCTGCACCTCCGGGTCCTGGGTATCCAGGACCCCTGGGGTGGCAGACGGCTTGTCAGGGCCCTCGGCACCTGAGCTCGTCGCGCCAGAGCCCGAGGCTGGGGGGATGGTGGGCTGCCTGTCAGGGCCCTCGGCACCTGGGCGCGCCGCACCAGAGCCCCCCGCCTTTGGAATGGGGATCCCCGCCAGATCCGGCAGATCTGCCAGGAGGGCCGCCGGAAAGGGGTTCCTACCCAGCGAGATGACCGCCTTGGCTTCGAGGTAAGAGTCCGTGAGGGACGTGAGGTCGTCCATGCTGAAATCCCTCCATGCCGTGGTCGGCTCAAAGACCCCCGTCTCAATGGCAACTCGGACCTCGTTAGGCCACGCACTGAATGGAGGCTTGATGGGCTCGAGCATTCTGGTCTCGTGGGCGCCCTTCGCTTGTCTGGCCTGGTGCTTTGCCTTCGCCTCCTCCGCAGTGGTCTGGGCCTGGAGGAGCTCCGGTGTGGGCCTCCCCCAGTCCGCGCCCAGCTTATCCAGCAGTTTTTCGCGGAAAAGGTCCAAGTCCAAATTCTTGAGGAGTAGGCCCCCATCGCCTCCTCCATCAATGGCCCCTCCTTGAAGCTCGTGGAGGACCGCCGCGGATCGCTCCACCGCTGCCACCTGGTCTGCCTTCTTGGCCTCCTCCTGGGCAATGGTGGTGGCGTTGAGCCGGGTCTGGATTTTGAAAGCCTTCACCGCCGACGGGTGGAAGGCCCTGCATTCCTGGCCCTCTTCCTTGTCGCCCGGCAATGGAGGCCTCTCCCCCATTGGGGCCGTCAGGAAATCCTCGTCCAGCTCCATGGGGCAGTTCCTGATCACCGCCCGGACCGAGGAGGGGACAAAGTCCGAGAAGCTGGCCTGGTCCGGGTTCTCGCATGCCATCGGGTCGGTGGCCAGCTCGCTGACATCCACCGAGGCGCTGAGCTTGAGGTCGCGGGCCCGGTCCGTATCAGGGCCATCGGCACCTGCGGACCGGGCCGCCGTCCAGACCGCATTGCCCTGGTCATCCACCGTCAACTGCCAGTGCGTGCCCGCCATCTCCAGGGTGGCCGAGTTGGTCGCCATGTCAATGGGCTCCGTCTTCTTGCCGCACCCCATACACTTCCTGGCGCCCTTCTTCACCCAGGGCATGGTGCAGCAGGGGCAGATCCAGGATGTGGGCTCCTTACCCAGGGGGCGGTTCTCCAGGCCCCCATACCCCAGGCCAGCGCGCTTGCCGACCTGCTGTCCCGGGGTGCTGAGCCGGGCCTCATGCTCATACTTCATCTTGGCGATGTAGAACGCCTCCACCACACGCTCCAGGCCCCCCTGCTTGAGTTGGGGGCCCTCAAAGCCTCTCAGGAGCCGCTGGACGTCCTTGGCCTGCAGTCGGCGGAGCCTAGTGGCCGTGGTCGCATCAAAACACGGGAAGTCGCCCGCCATCTGGTCATCGCTGAATTGGTAAAGGCCCTCAGAGACTTTGAGGGCCTTGGTGAAGACGCTTCCCCCCGGCGGGGGGGCTGCGGGGTCCTCATCCTCCTCCGAGGACGCCTGCTCCCTGACCTTCGCCATCAGATCACGGCGTCTCTGCCACTTGGTGTCGGACATCGGGAGCTCCTCCTCGTCTTCCGCCAGGAGTTCCTCCATGGGAACATCCTTCTCCGGCGGGTTTAGGAGCTCCAGGAACGCCCCTGGGGGGCGTGTCAGGGCCTTCGGCACCTGCGCCACCCCAGGGGCTGAGTCTGCCATCAGCTCGTCCTCTGCCTTGCGCTTGGCTGGGATGAGTGGGGCCTGCTCCAGCTCATCGGCGCTGGAGAAGAACCGCTCGTCAGGTGCCTGAGGGACCTCAGCAGCCAAGACGGTCCATCCTTCTTCCTCCTTCTTCACGAGGCTTGCCAGGTACTTCGCCATGGAGGCCTTTGCCTTCGCCTTGGCCTCTGCAACCGCGGCACCAGCGTAGGCGGGGGCGTACATGGCTTTGATAGGAGGGGAAAGAAAGATTTCAGATTACAAGACAGAAGGTCAGAGTCCACTTGAGCCAAAATGGTGGCCCAAGTGGACACTTATGAAGAGTCAAGACAAGCGACCACCTGCGGTTAACGCTTTAGCCCATTAAAATGAAAAAGCAGCGCGGGAATTGCGCTTCCCATCTCCGGCTCCAAAATAGCAAGAGTAGCATGCGAAGTACGCATTCCGCGCAGGCAAGGCCACCAACCTTCTTGCGCAGCCAGACTGCGCACAGATAGGGACCAGAGAGTTGACAAGAGAAACTGGCATGAAAGATTGGGCAACAGAGGCTGCAGAGCATCAGAACAACATCATGCACAGCGCCGCACAACATCACCCACAGCTTCACCCACACAGCATCACGCACAAGAGAAGTTGACACCCGAAATTGTGAAGCTGCTAAGCTCGCTCCTCAGAACTTGCAGAAGCTTTGCTGAGCAGAGACGTTGACGTGTTTACGTGCTGTTGCTCATTTAACGTGTTTAAATGCTTCTGGGCCACCCGTTGTCAAGTTAAGTATTTAGGGTCTCGTTTTTAGGGTTTTGCAAGGGGAACGACTGGGAAGTCATTGCGCGTTCCCACCCGCCCGCCTTGTGGCAGAAGCCGATGGGTCCGCAGACGTCCTTTTCTGAGTCGTAAGTGCACCTGAAGGCGCATAAGGAGGGGCTGTTCAGGCAGGAGCTCTGGCCGAGCATGGCGTCCACCGCAGTCATCAGCTCCAAATTGGGCTTTCTGAGTGCCTGGTCAGACGGACCATTGTATTTCCATGGAGACAGGTGGCTTGACCTTTCTTGGGGGCTGTTTGAAAATTGCTGGTCCAAAACAAAGATCGAGGGACCCCGCCTTGTCCGCTTGGCCATCCATCTTGATTGCCAGAACATCAGGCGCAGGCGTAGCATGCAAGTTAACCTCGGCTTCCGAGATGGTTTTTACCTTGCCGCCATCGAAGTAGTACGCCTTGGCGTCTGCCTTGTTGCTCTTGTAGACCTTGAGCCCTGCTTGGCGGGCCACGTAAAGAACCCTACTGAGCTCAGTGGTCACGCCAATGACGGGATTCTTCTCGGTGCGGAGGAACAAGGCCTTCTTCTTGTTGTAGACGCTGGAGCCGTACGTGGAGGTCTTCGAGTCCCAAGCCTGCCACTGTTGGCGCCAGAACCGGCGAGCCAAGTCAATGCCGCGCAGAAGGGCCCGAACAAAGCCATGAAAAACATAAGTTTTGGCAACTACGGCGACTATGGGCTGGAAGGCCGAAACACACAGCTTGTCCAGCTTATCCTCAGAGTACAATTTCAGTAGCGTTGGCAAAAACCAGTTACAAGGAGTCCAAGACTACAACCCCGTGCCTTTCTCACTGTGCTTTTTCTACCGGCAGAGTGCCTTTGTCGGTTCCACGGACAAGTCAACAATACAGTCGAGGTTGAAGGCATCGGAGGTCGTGGGTCATTCCTACGTACTGGACTAGTACTGGACTGGTTTAAAGAACTCTTACGGTAGTTTTAGCACGAGCCGGGCCGGGCCGGCCGGCTCTGGACGCAGCATTATGAACCAGTTGCCCTATTTTGAAATCCAGGCGCTTGTTTGTGGGCGCCGCGTGGGGCGCCAAAGTGCAAGAGAGTCACAGGGCACGGCCATGCAAAGCTGCGCATCCATCGCTGGCAGTTGCACTCGTGCTGCGTTGAGTGCATATATTTTGGGGTTCTTAAGGGATAGGGGTGTAAGGGCAGGGGGTGGTTGGAACCCCCTAAATAAGTAGAAGCTTCCCTAGCGCTGCCTAGAGCTCCTTGGCCAACCCTAGCACTCCTTCCCCAAAAACCACCTAAAAATATAGGCTCCATCAAGCTCCTGCGCTTCCGCTTTGATTGTGGCTAGGTTGGTTGGGATAAACAACCCAGAATTCAGCGGGAATGCAGTTTGAAAGGGGAGGGGAGGGAAGCTTGGGGAAACTCTGAAAATTTATTGGGCTTAGGGAAGCTTAGGGAGCCTTGGCCTTGAAAAAGGTTGGGGAAGCCTAGAGACTAGAAATCGCACAAAAACTCACTCGAAGAGGAGGACCCACCCCCCCCGCCCAGTTGCCGCCGGATGGCAGCCAGCTGTTGCCGCAGTTGCGCAAGCACGTCGGGTTGCCAACAACAGAGCCCCTTCAAGAAACCAGTAAGTTATTCAAACCATAGTGGCTAGAACAGGCCAAAAACAGTAGTTGGCCCAACTTTGCCTGGTAGCCAACAATTCCGACCACCGACATGCCGTTGATCTCCTGGTTCAATACCACAGTATCCGGCAGCAGGCGATAGGGCTTGTCCAGGCCGGTCACTTCCACGTACTGCGCCACGTCTCCAGCAGCCCCATCTTTGTAAGCAAACTTCACCTCGGACTGAAGCCAAGTGAGCGATGAAAACCACGCAGTGTCGTCGCCTTTACTCCACATGGTGTCGATGGAGAAGGAGCCAGCTGCCCTCACTGCAGCATTGCGCTCCTCCTGCTCCGTCTTCGCATCTGCAGAAAGCGCAGACAGAGATGCCAGCTCTCCTGCGAGATAGCTGTCGCGTGCCGCAGACACATCCCGGACTGCGAGGAGGAAAATAAAGGCCATTGCCAAGTTCTGTCGCGTCACGATGCGCGCCATCACGAGGTAGGTTTGGTCAAATCACCAAGCAACAACTTTTGAGCATACAAGCTTCAGCCATCGCAGTGCTATAAAGGAGTGTCCGCAATAGTATGTGCACAGTGTTGTTGGAAGATGGCTCTACAGCGGAAGCTTCGCTAGGTTGTAGGGCCTACGGAAGGGGGTTCCATAGGCCCAGCTCGTGGAGCTTTGCTGTCAATCGGAAGCCGAAGCACGTTTCGGGGTCCCGATTCAACCTGAATTTACGGGTGCGGATTTATGGCGATTCTTCGTAACATCGGTCGATTGCAGCTGATTGCTTTGTGCTTTGTGGGCCCAGACTTGCCTTGCGCAAGCTCCAACGGGGGAGCCGATTTTCAGGGGACTAGTTTTGGGCCCCCAAGGAACCACAGCCCATTTCGGGAGCAAGGTGAAAAAGGGGGTCATTTCAAACATGGCTTTGCAAAAATAGTAGCACATAGCAGCACCATCGTCCGAATGATGACTAAACCAACATGGGGTACTTGCGCCATCCAAGGTGCCATTTTTCTTTGACTAAGGGAAGCTGTGGTGATTTTTCCCCCAACAGGATTGGGTTCAACTCTACCTTGCAGTGAGACAAAATTGAACCCTGGTGCCATCTACTTGTAGCACCACCCTTCTAGTCTGGCTTCGAGTCAAGGTTTTTTTTGCGCCGAGACACCGATGCGCACGGGCAAGCAAATGGCCAGGACAACGGAGAAGTAGCTGGCATCAGCCACCTCCTGTTAAGTCACTTTGACATGTGGGTGTGAGTGCCGACCCCCCAACAAAAAGAGTCTTCTTTGGGTTTCCTTGTATGCCAACCCGAAAAAGGCGAACCTCAAACAAGGCAGGTCCCCCCCATTTTGAGACAAACCCTGATCCATGGACTTTGACGCTACCAACATGGTCACCAACACGGCTATGATGCTTTGCATAGGCCTTGCTTTTTAAGCCCTATTAAATCAAGGAGCAGGGATCTACTAAAGTGGCCAACGGGGGCTTTCGACGCACAATACCGGCCATGCTGCCCAAAGATTTGTTCAATTTGGATTTGCCTCAGAATGTGGTGGTTCACCAAACACGAGCATTCTCCTTTTGGCCGCGTTTGAACATGTGTAAAGAGGGGGAAGCTTCAAAACAAGACTTGCTCTTCCGAATGACCAGTCTCGTTCGCTAGATATGGCATTCAAGACAAACAAACATATGGGCGTGTTTTGTTGAGGGTACCCCGTTTTGGGTGGCTAGAAAGGGAAACCAGGTGTAAACCACACATTTTTTGCGCCTCCCCTATTTTGGCGCTGACCCATATCCGACAAATTTGTGTTCCACACTTTGCTGCTCATGACCATGTCCGTTTCCAACGCCCACCATATAACAAATTTGCTATCTCGAGTGGATTGGCCAACAAAAAGCAACTTTTATAGCTGACCGACCTTCCAAAAGTCGAGCAAAGCCAACAAACTTGGGAAGTGAGGCTATTGGTCGCGTCAAGATCTGGAACACCCAAAATGTCTACGACAGCAAGTGGCAGTTGCTTCAAGTCGAGTGCAGTCCATTGGGGCACTGTATGAGAAGGGGACATCTTCTGTTTTGGAAGGATAGCCTTGACAAGTCAAAGTTGAAAACTTCCGCAGCATCCCAAAACGACAAACCAAAGCAAATGCAAACAATCGCAAATAAATAAACAAATAGACACAAATAAACACGGAGAAAGACAAACATACGCAAACGGACAAGCAAAGACAAACAGCCCCCGTGGTCACGAACTCCGACAGCTTCACGTCTCGCAGCTGACTGGTACGAACAATGCCTCCCCTCATGAGCTTCTCGCAAATTCCATTGATGAAGCTGGCCGTCAGAGCGCCCGGGCGTGTGGCCGCGAAGATGAGCAAACCGCTCCTCTTCTTGAAGCGACGTGCGTCCACCTTCCCCATGGCAACCGCATCCACCCTCCGCGACTTCGCCTTCTGTTTCCATCGGGTGTAGCTGCTGCTTGAAGACCTCCCCGAAGAGGATCTCGAAGAGCGCCCAAACAGTATTCCACCCGACCCGGGCCGGTTTCAGTCATTGAAGATCCACCCAAAAAGACACCTTCCCAAGTAACATGGCCCATGAAAGTGACACCCTCAAAACCACAGGTGGCTTAAATGAAAGCTCCCAAAAATTTCATTCCAATCCTCACCAGGGATGCTCCGAAGACCTTGAAAGGATAGAAACTTGGTCTTGGTAAATTCGAATCAAAGCAAAGCAGTCTTCTGCAGTGCCATTGTTTTGGTTCTTCTCATCTGATAGCTGGAAGCAACCCTACCCCATTCCACCACAAACCAAAGGACAAAGCAGAGCAAGTTCACGGGAGTTCACTGTTGGGTGCGGTATCCTTAAACCACCAGTTAGAGGGTAATTTTGAGGATGTCGCTTTAATTGTCCTATACATGCGCCATGGTCAAAAGACATCTTTCCCTTGAGGTTGTTAGTCTTGGTCATTTCTTCCTTAATAGCGAACCATGACCATGGCCTACAGAAGCCAGGAGGCGAAACCCGGCATTGCAGGGGTGGTGTGTTGGACCCCTACCTGCTGGGCAAGGTTGTGCCGCCTGGCGCAGCCTGTCGTGTGTTCGCTTCAGCAAGTGGGACATTGGGAGAGCGGCGTAATGTCTTGCGCCTCTCAATTGGCAGCGATCTTTGATGGGAGGTTTGCTACGGGGCCCCTCTTTGTCCCTTCGTGAATCCGAGCGTGGAGATGGACATTGCGCACAGGTTTGTTCTAGCAACGAACTGGCGCACGCCGAGCAAGCTTTCTATGGCGGCAATGGTCAAAGGAGGTTGCTGTGTGAGCAGTGGCTTGAGTCAGGGCAATTCCTCAACTGCATAGGGAAGGCTCTCTAATTCCCTGTATCTAGGCCTTTTTTCAAAGGGAAATGTGTGCGTGTGTGCGGAGTGGCAGAAAACCCTGCCACCATACAATAACTTTTTCCCACTGCAGGGGGACCATCCATTTGCTGTGTGCGATGGTCCAACAAAGCGGCCACAGCAAATGCGGATATCGAGGCTGATCACCTCGACGTACCTGTGCATCTCGTGTGATTCAAAGTCCTTTTGGCCCGTTGTTTCTCTCGCTGTGTGTGCTTCATGTTGAATTTGTATCGTTTTCGCTGCTAGACGGAAACCAAGTGACTGCAAGCCGAACCTACACCCACTCGAAACTCATCAGTTGTACTCGAGACTCATCAGTTGTACTCGAGACTCATCAGTTGTACTCGAAAGATTAGAACCCTCCATCTGGAGTCTAAGTGTGAACACCCCATTCGTGGGGGACCCTCGGGTGTACCCATCGTGTGACCCCGGGCCGGTACGCCGGAAAATTTGACCTCAACATGCTTATCATAGAACAGCGGAATTTCACGTTTAAGCAGGAACGAGGTTTCACTAAAGGGTTCATAGTTAAGTTTCACAATCCTGGACGTCGCTGCTGGCAGATTGTCGGCCGATTCACATGCATGTGCATGGCCGTGAGTTGTCGTTGATTGTGGTTTGTCGATTGTATCCTTCCTCAAGGACGAGCTTTACCATTTCCGGACGTGTTGCTGTTTCGTCATGTCACGCCGGGATGATCGAGACAGATCCAGAACTCGGCGCAGACGGGATCGGAGTCCCTCCTCCCAGCCTTGCAAAGCACGCAGACGTGAACACAATGACAACCAGGTCTCGGATGGCATGGATTGGAACAACTTGGTCTCCTGGCAACACAATTCGGGCTACAACACTTCCAGTGCTTTTCCGGTGCCGCCAGGCAACTATCAATCGAACCCCTCCTCTACGCAGCAATTTCATCATACTCCGGTCAACTACATGATGCCGTTTCCTCCGGAGCCCACACCAGCCAAGTTCGTGACGCCCGTGATGCCACCACCGGTCACTTCTTCCCAAGCTACACCATCGCCTGGATACCCAGCTGCGCTACCAGTTCGACCTCAAAAAGCGTGGCTTACTCCACCGGATGATTGGAAACCTGGTGATGGCATGTTCGACATCAACCAGCTCTACAATTTTAGCCTGCCCATGACGGTTGCCAGCACCCCGCACAATACTCTACGTGACATGTCTGGCATGGACATTCGGGATGTTCGCCTGGTTCAGGTCATACACGGGGGCATTACCAACTGGCTACTGCGACCATTTGCTCACGGGAGATTCGTGACGTGGGAAGGATTTCGTACCCGCACCGAGGCCCTGCTTTGGAGTACCTGTTCAAAAGTACTGCGACGATCACAGCCGCTCAGCCTGCTTACTTTGGAAAAGGACCTTGCCAATTCGCTGGGGCTCAACCTTGACGACTTCAATCAGCGCATCAAGGTTCACGACCACTTGGCCAATCTGGTGCTTCAGTTTCTTCACCAACATCACGCGACTCTTACGCCCTCTACCCAAGCAGAAGACATGCTCAAGAAGTTCAATGACCTACATCGAGCTCATGAGTTGCTCCAGGCTCAATATTCGGCATCACAACGAGCTTCGTCTTCCCCTATGTTACCATCTCAGAAAGATGATGCAGAGTTGGTTACACCGCCTCCGGCCAACCACTCACAATCTTCGACGCCGACCAGCTCCCTGCCCACGGTCAGTGCGGCGGCCCTCGATGGCAAGTCGTTTGATGGTTCGGTTCAGCAACAACCACGGATCATCCAGTCTCTTCACGGACTTTCTTCCCCGCCTTCCAAGCCGGCGGCGTCACAGCTGCTCACCATGCACAGCACGCCAGAAGACATCATCAAGCACTACGCATGGACCAGTGATCAACCACGCTTGTATCTCAAGCAATCACCCACTACCACTACAGTGGCGTCATTGATTAAGTGGGCCAATCACCAATCCCGTCTCAACGGCAACAAGTCCTTGGAATCTATGTCGACCCAGCTCTTTCAGGCGCGTCAACGCATGCCAAAAGGAGATGCACCTACGTTTGCAGCTATGGCCGCTCTCTGGGGACTTGAACCTGGCTACATCACCAAGCTCACGGACAAAGCGCTGTGTCACCTCATCGTGACTGCCCG